GGTATTTGGATACGGGCTGCAGCAATCACATGTGCGGTTATAAGACAATATTTTCAAATTTGGATGAGTCTTTTCTGAGCACCGTCGAATTCAGCGACAACTCCAAAATTAATGTTGCTGGAAGGGGCAATATTATTTTCAAGGCCAAGGGAAATAAAAGCCACAAGATCTCCGATGTCTTCTTTGTCCCAGAATTGAAGACCAACTTGATTAGTCTAGGACAACTTCAAGAAAAGGGGTACGAGATTCTGATCAAGAATGGTGTTTGTCGAGTTCAAGACGAAAAATTAGGGTTGATTGCTCAGGTTAAAATGACAGATAATCGGTTGTTTCCATTAAATCTGCATAGATCCACCGGTTCGTGTTTCTCAGCAAAGATTCAAGACTCAACATGGTTATGGCATTTTCGCTATGGTCATCTCAATTTTGGAGGATTGCAAACACTGCAGCAGAAAAATATGGTGACAGGTCTTCCGGAAATCGCACCTCCAACTCAGATTTGTGAAGATTGTGCTGTCAGCAAGCAGCATCGAGACTCTTTTCCATCTGGAAAATCCATCAGAGCCAAGAAAGTGCTAGAGGTGGCTCATTCGGACATTTGTGGCCCTCTAAATCGAATCTCGAATGGAGGTAAACAGTACTTTATTATTTTCATTGACGATTACAGTAGGAAGACATGGGTGTATTTTTTGAAAGAAAAATCTGAAGCATTTGATGTTTTCAAGACATTTAAAGTGTCTGTTGAAAAGGAAAGTGGATGCGTGATTACGGTTCTGCGAACAGATCGTGGTGGAGAGTATACGTCGCATGAATTCGCAAAGTTTTGCGAGAATCATGGAATTCAAAGGCAGCTTACAGCAACATATTCACCTCAGCAAAATGGTGTTTGTGAGCGAAAAAATCGCACTATTATGAACATGGCTCGAAGTTTGCTAAATAGAAGTGGAATCTCTAAAACTTTTTGGCCCGAAGCAGTGAATTGGAGCGTCCACATTTTGAATAGAAGTCCGACCTTTTCTGTTCAAAACATGACTCCTGAGGAGGCATGGAGTGGAAACAAACCAGCTGTCAATCACTTGAGAATTTTTGGGTGTGTTGCCTACGCTCATGTCCCGGATCAGAGAAGAACAAAACTTGAAGACAAGGGGGTGAAGTGTATTTTTCTTGGTATTAGTGATCAGTCAAAAGCATATAAGCTTTATAATCCTAACACCAAGAAGATTATAATTAGCCGTGATGTGATATTTGATGAACAAAATTTTTGGGCAGAGAATAAGAGTGATGTTGTGCATCAAGAGAAACTAGTGGATTTTGATGAAATTGAAGATGAGCAGCCTGAAACTTCAAGTGTGCAGCACCGGTCCACACAACAGCAGCCCGCAGAAACAGCAGCTGATAGTTCTGTGCAGATTCTTGGCTCACCAGCAACATCAACTTCAGAACCTCGTCCTCGACGTGATAAAAGAAGTCGCTCACTAGCAACATCAACTTCAAAACCTCGTCCTCGGCGTGATAAAAGAAGGCTTGGTTGGATGATTGATTATGAGGTGACTGGAGTAAATCAATCAGAATGTCAACTAACACACTTTGCATTTCTTACGGATTGTGATCCCATGGTTTTTGAAGAAGCTATTAAGGAACCAAAGTGGAAAAAAGCAATGGATGAAGAAATTGCTTTTATTGAGAAGAACAACACTTGGGAGTTGGTTGATCTTCCACAAAGGCAAAAGACAATTGGTGTGAAATGGGTGTATAAGACAAAATTCAAGTAAGATGGAGAAGTTGACAAGTACAAGGCACGACTCGTCGCTAAAGGTTACAAGCAAGAATTTGGGGTGGACTATAATGAAGTATTTGCTCCAGTTGCAAGACATGATACAATTAGAATGGTGGTTGATGTAGCTGCACAAAATTCATGGCCCATCTTCCAATTGGATGTAAAATCAGCATTTTTACATGGTGATTTGAAGGAGCAGGTGTTCATTGATCAACCTCCTGGATACATGAAGTTTGGATGTGAGCACAAAGTCTATAGACTAAAGAAGGCTTTGTATGGATTAAAACAAGCACCACGCACTTGGTACAGTAGAATTGAAGCTTACTTCCTGAAGGAAGGGTTTGAGAAATGTTCTTTTGAACACACACTTTTTGTGAAAAGTGGGGAAGGAAGAAAATTGTTGATCGTGTGCTTATATGTGGATGATTTGATATATACAGGGAACGATTTCAGCATGTTTGAAAGGTTCAAGCAATCTATGATGTTGGAATTTGATATGTCTGATTTAGGGAAGATGCACTATTTTCTCGGCATAGAAGTAGTGCAATCAAAAGCTGACATTTTTATCTCACAAAAGAAGTATGTGCAAGAGATTTTGAACAGATTTCAGATGTCAAATTGCAATTGTGCTGCTACACCTACTAAAGTAGGCTTGAAACTTGTTCGAAATTCGGATGAAAAGAAGGTTGACAGCCGCCTTTACAAGCAAATCGTGGGGAGTCTGATGTATTTAACAGGAACGAGGCCTGATATCATGCATGATGTAAGTTTGATCAGCAGGTATATGGAAAATCCTAAGGAGAGTCATCTCTTGGCTAGGGATGGCAAACAAACCCGAGCCCGCCCACACCCGCCCGGGCCCACCCCGAAATTAACGGGGGAAATCCGATTTAAATGGGTGCGGGTGCGGGTGCGGGTGAAACCCGGTTCTTAACTACGGGTGCGGGTGCGGGTGCGGGTAGACACTAAGACCCGCCCGCCCCCGCCCCCGCCCCGCCCCAAATAATATATTTTATTTTGATTTCCTTATTTTATTTATTTTAATATTTATTTATTAATTATACTTTTAATTAAGTTATTAATATTCTTATTGCAATTAAAATAATAAAATTAATCAAATTAATATTCATTTATTAATTAAAATTTTAATTAAATAATTAATTAATTTATTAAAATAATCAATTTTTTAATTAAATTACTAATTTTTATTATAATTAAAAATATAATAATTTTTTGCGGGTGGGGGCGGGGCGGGTGCGGGTGCACCCGTTTTCTACTGGGGGCGGGTCTGGGTGGTAAATTTTCACCCCCGATTGGATTTGGGGGCGGGGGCGGGTCTGTTACATGGAGGCGGGTGCGGGTGCGGGTATAGTTAAACCCGCCCCCGACCCGCCCCGTTGTCATCCCTACTCTTGGCTGCAAAGAGAATTCTCAGGTACTTGCGAGGTACTACTAGTTTTGGAATTTTCTACAAGAAGGGAGAAAATTCATATCTGATTAGCTATACAGATAGTGATTATGCTGGAGATATTGATGATAGAAAGAGTACTTCCGGCTATGTCTTTATGCTGGGTTCTGGAGCCATCTCATGGTCATCAAAGAAACAAGAGATAGTCACCCTATCAACTACCGAAGCAGAATATGTTGCTGCAACAGCATGTGCTTATCAAGCAATTTGGCTTAGGAGGATACTTGAAGGGCTGAATTTTGTGCAGGAAAGGGAAGTTAATGCTTCTGCAATTTATTGCGACAACAGTTCAGCTATCAAATTGTCCAATAATCCTGTTTTACATGGAAGAAGCAAACACATAGACATGAAATTTCATTTTATCCGGAATCTCACAAAGGATGGAGTGATTGAACTTCACTACTGCAAAAGTGAAGACCAAATTGCCGATATAATGACCAAGCCATTGAAGTTGGCTGCATTTCAGAAGCTCAGAGCATTGTTGGACGTGTGTGATAAACTGAATGTTTGAAAACTTTCAGTTTAAGAGAGAATATTTGTTTTGAGTTTGTCCTAATCTTTAGGGATATTTGATTGAGTAAGTAGTGGGTGCTGAATTTTAGGAATATATTGTTAGTGACTTACAGCTTTATTAAGCAGTTTGTAATTCTTGTTATGTTAACGCATCAATCAATAAAACAACAGTTTTCGGTGCCTCTGTACTCTAAATTAACACATAAACCACACCAGAACTTGATGGAGTTCACTAGTCGATGGTTATGTGCCAAAACCACACCTAAACTTGATGGAGTTTATTAGGCTCTTCCTGCCACAACTAGAAATTTAGCTGTTAATGATTATGTGCCAAAACCGCGCTAGTAATACTGGAATGTGTTTGGTTACAATACAAAGAATGCAGCTATCTCAGTATTGTAGCTTCACAAAAAGTTAGATAAATGAGCTTTTTTTTTTACACCGAGCTTAGTCATGATCATCAAACTCCTCTATATGCATCATGGTGGAATTTCGACAGGTTACAATTGCTTGACAATAAACTACTTCTATGAAAGGAGGGAGAAAATAAGAATTACAGTAACATGCCTACACTGAAGTTGTACATCACAACTTGACAAAGTTTTCTGCAAACTTATCTTTAAAGCAGTTGCATTTTCCTGCATTTGTCACAATTGCAGGTAATCCCCATTTTGATACAACGACCTGTGATCTATATGACTGTGTCAAATGCAGGAAATCGACTGCAGGCATTGTGAAAATCTGTTTTAACGATTTGATTACACAAGATAGTTAATTCATCTTCTAAAAGTACATCACAGATGAAATTAAAAGCAAAAGCAAAAGCAAAAGAAAATGTGTTATTGACTAAGAATGACTAAGAACAGCATGATCACATATAACAGCAAGTGAAGTAAACTGAAGAGGTTAAAAACTGTAAGAGTAAAATCAGTTTCAATGGAAAGTGAAAATTAACAAACACATTATTTCACAGATTAATCATGATTCATGTCCTAGGATAAAACATGTGTCATCTACTTCCATAAGAAGCACGGGGACCCCTGACACGACAACGGCACATTGACACGAATTACGCAGTAACGCTTTTTTCAAATAACTAAACTAGTTAAGTGTGAAATTCAAAACCATAACAAATTCAGTATCAAGGAACAATTAAGTCTCGCAAGCTAAAATCTCTACAAAACTAAACCCTAACCAAATAGTAACTGTAAACACAAAGCAAAACTGAAATCAAAATTTGTTTCAGCTAAGCTTCTTGAGAATTTTGGAAGCCCAACGCTTAACACATCTTCCAACACATCCTCTGAGTGTATAACCAAAAACAACTCCCCCAACAAAGAAAGTCGCACAAAGCTGTGAGCAAGTCCAGTAAGAGAGAACTTTTCTGCAACAAAAAATACAAAATCAATTATTCCAACTTCCAAGTCAAAACCTAGTGAATTCACATAAACAAGAGTTAGATTGAAGTTTCCACAAAGAAAATAATTGGAAAATTAGCATTGATTTGTTGATTTTAAGTTAAGGTAAGGTAAGAAGAAGAAAGAGAGGGACATACCTGGAAGATCTAGTGGCCAAGACATAGGATGAATTGTAAGGAGGTGTTACTCCGATGCCGCCGTTAAGATCTAAGCTCGACGGCGATGTTTTGTGGTCGCCGGAAACCTTAACGGCGGTTCGTACAGCACCGTTCATTGCTACGAGCTACAATAGCAAAACAACGCTGCGATTTCACATCCTCTATTTCTTTTTGCGTTTATCTTTTCCTGTATATTTCGCATCAAAACGACGCAGTATAACAACCACTAAAAATATATAAGTTGTGTTTTACTGCGGTAATTAAGTTGAGTTAGTAAGTGTTTAATAATAGATGAAAAGAAAAATAGTTTTAAAATAAATATAACTTTCAATTTTTGAAGTAATAAAATTATAATAATACAATAAATAAATTATTTTTATTTTTATTTTGTTTGTTATAAAATATAAAACAACTAAAAGATTACTTTTAAGTGATCACTAATAATGTCAAAAAGTTTAATATTTTATTTTTTTTGGGTTAAATAGTATGTTGGTCCCAATAAATTAGTAAATTTTTGACTTTGGTCTCCGAAATTTTTTTTTGTCTAATTTTTTATATTTCACTTTTGCTTGTTAGTTTCTAAAGTTAAAATCCGCAGATTTTTTTACGAATTTTTCTTGCGATTTTTCTACGAATTTTGTCTAAGAACTACACCACATTCAAAAAGTGAGATATATGGACTCAGACCAAAATAAATAAATTATAAAGACTAAACTAAAAAATTCTCTAATTTACCGGACCAAAAACGCATTTAAGGCTCTATTTTGTAAAAATGGTTGACTAATAAGCCAGTTGATAGCTTATGACTGATGGATGATAGCTTATAGTTTATAATTGATAGCTGATAAATGAGAGATGATAAGCTAATTAAAGTGTTTGTTAAAATTAACGGTTCAACTAGTTAATAAATGTAAAATGACATAAAATGACATTTTTAAATTATTATTAAAATTCATATTTAAAATACTTTAAAATTTAGTAATTTAAATTTATTAAATCTTTCATATACTATTATTATGTTAATTTTTATATGCTAATTTCTTTTATATTGTTTCAATTTTATAATATAAAAAATTAATCTTTCATATTAAGATGTACACGTAAAATAATAAATTTATGAGATTTGAAAATAACTCTATGTAAAATTACAAACATACACTGATATAAAAAAATATTATTAATTTATAATAAAATATATATCAAATTAATATTTACATAAAATTGAACCTAATAATAACATTTATGTAAATGTTGCAATAAACATATAATAAAAATTAAGATAATCTCAACTACAATTATATCAATCTAAAATAATAATCAAAATAAGTCTATCGTCTAGTATTCCAAATTAAAGCATCAATATTCTTACGAATATTCTTACGAATTTTTTTCGTCTTGGTTGATCTCCATGCTCCCTCCTTTGGTATGTCCCCGCCTTGAGGACCAACAACAATATTTGAAAGATCATCATGAGGTACATAATTTGGTTGTTGGTCTAGGATAGTAAATATTGGGTCATCATGTGACTTGATGCGAATATAGTTATGTAACGAAAATGCTGCTATTATAACATCATCTTGAATCTTAACACTAAATTGCAACATTTTATTAAGTATTTTTCATCTTTTCTTTAACACTCCAAATTATCTTTCTATACAACTTCTAAGAGATGAATGTGCACGGTTAAAGGCTTCTTGAAAATTAGTTGGGGGTTCATATTCAAATTGTGATTGATGATACCTTATCTTAGGATAAGGCACCAAATATCCTTCTTTATCAAGATATCCTTTGTCAACCAAATTGTATCTACATGTAAAAAAAGAGTAAAGATGTATTTTTTTTATAAAACAAACATCCTCCAAAAATAAAAAATAAAATAAACTTCTAATAATACATATAATAATATTTTTTGGTGGCGTTGGAAAGTTTAATGTCTGTGTGTTGATTGCATGAAGAAAAACACGTGTTTCATGTGTTAATCCCTCCCATCCAACTGATATAAATGTGAAACACATATCAAAATCACAACTAGCCATGACATTAAAGGTGGAGATCCCCTTTCTACCCCTATAATGCATTTGTTCTGCCTCAGGAATACATGCTGCTATATGGGTACCATCAATGCATCCAATACAATCCAGTTTAAAAAATTAGATAAAGGTGTGTCCATCATGATAAGGAATAATATCTCTCTCTCTCTCTCTCTCTCTCTCTCTCTCTCTCTCTCTCTCTCTCTCTCTCTCTCTCTCTCTCTCTCTCTCTCTCTCTCTCTCTCTCTCTCTCTCTCTCTCTCTCTCTCTCTCTCTCACACACACACACACACACACACACACACCCACACACACCCACACCCACACATGCGCGCGCACACACACGCCTCTTGAAATAAGGCATGTACCGCTCTTCATTAGCAATATGAATTGGTTCATATTAAAAAGTTTGATCCTTTGGTCTTATGATATCACGTGTTAGGCCTTGGTAACCCCTACTTCTACCACTAATTGCTTCTAAAACCTCATGAAATAGTCTACTAATGGTCTCTCCAGAATGGTGAAACCGCTCTAATGTCCCTATTAGAAGCATCCATAGCAAGTGTATACACAAATATGTCCACCTTCTCAACAACTGTCATTCTTTTACTTGGCTGTAATCCATATTTTGATTGCAAATCTTCACACAATTGTGTAAATAAAGTTGGATTCATTCTAAAGACATTCATATATCGAACAAGGTGTCCACTCAATATCTCACTCATCCAATCTTGTCATCTTTGAAGAGAAGTCATACATGGTTCATTACAAATATATTTATAGTAATATGTAGCAATTTCACTTATTGCACTTGATCTTATAATCCAATAAAGTGTATAATTTCTTCTCTTTTTTTCTCTTTCAACAATATCAATGATATACCTACTAATAAATAAGTATATTTAATTATTAATAACCATATTCAACACAAACAATTCATCACCAACATCAATAAATTCAGCATAGATTGCATATTTGTTTCAACTAGAAGCAAACAAATTTTAACATTAAAAAACTTGAAACTAATTTTAAATGGCAAAAGCCTTGCAAACAAATGTCAACATTCACAAAATTGAAACTAATTTTAAGTCAAAATCAAAGGAACAAGTTAAAACTAAATATTCATAAAAGGTTCATTTCTCTTTGGAGTGTATATACGTTAACCATAAATTTCTAGACTCGTCATCTGCCATGTTTAGAAAAATCTTTCGCTTTAATTCATTCTCAATCAAACAAGCCCCAAAGCACCACAATTCACTACCCTTTTTCAAAACACCATCGGTGACCATCCGATTTATAACAATCATTGTTGTAGCAATTGTAGAACTACTATTAACTTCTTTACTTGCATTTCCATCGGATTGCATTATTTTCAATGCCTTATGAGATTGAGACATCAAGGTTTCTATCTTACCACCTAGTTTCACAGTCCCTCCGATTTGTTTTCTTTTACGATTTCCTTTAATATGTCTGTTAGTCATGTTTTCTATAACTCTTTTTGTGCCTCAATCTTGACCAATTACCTTTGTGCCTTCAAGACCTTCGCCGGGTACTTGTGTACCTCTAAGACCTTGGTTAGAAAATTGGGTACCACCCACCTCATTCATAAAATCAGGCCAAAAAGAATTTTCTTCTTGAAGTAAATTCTTCACTTGAGAAGCATGTTGTTGGTATTCTGCATATACATATGCTTCATCACTCTCATATTGATGATTATCTTTTCCACCATTTTCTTCATCTTCCTCAATATTAACATGTTTCACAGGTTGAACCAACTCTAAATTCACAGAGGGTGCAACAACCTCATCCTCACCTGCATAATTGTCATCAAATAGTTGATTTCAATATTCCTCTATTGAAGGATCTATTGATTTATTATGAAAAATTGTAGCCTTCGATTTCTCCTACAGAAAAATTAACCATTAACTTTTAGATCTTATATTAAATCATTTTCATTGTAAATTAATTAGAAATGTTTAATAATAAATTATTTTCTATTATTTTCACATATCTTTCTATTATTAATATTTAATACTCTTTTAAAATTATTAATTTTAATATTCAAAAATAAATGTAAGTTGACCCGTATTAAATTGGATACAATATCATCATTTTTTTTATTGAGTTATTTAAATTGAATCATATCATGTGTATTTTTATATCTTTCAACCCAATAACTTCTAAGCTTAAAAATAATTCAAACTTTATTAGAATGTTTTTTTTAATTTAATTATAATTTATATATTCAAAAAATCATATCATAAAATTCTCACAATAACAAATGTTTGCACCTAGTTAATAAACTAGAACAAATTAAATATTAGTAATATTCTAATTGCTGCCTCATGTATGTAACTTTAATTTATTAGAAAATATTTAAAAAAATATATTTTACGTGGATCTTCTTTTAAATTTTATAGTATCATATAAGCATTTCCATGTGTTTGATTAATTAGTGTGATTGGAATATCTATGCATATAAAGGCGATCGCCCTACGTGTTTTCATGATAGAATAAGAAACCAACAGTTTGATTATACTCTTTATGACGAGTATTGCGAGAGAAATACGACAACAACTTTAATACAAAAATGGAAACCGAGAGAAAGCTAATAGAACAATATGCAGAAAAATACAGTTAAAAAACAATAGAACAAAAAGAATCTGCAAGGAGATTGAACACTTGCTACGCTCCACTTTGCAGAAACCTACCTTCAACTCAGACAGTAATTTAGCTTCCATTCACAGGATATAAATTATGTTTATTTAGATTATTAATTAAATTCGGTTGGGCCTTGTATAATACATAATTATTTTTTATTTAAATAAAGTAAAAGTGAGATTTAATCTATATATCTATACATCTATACACCTATAACTATATATAAAAGAAATAATTTATTTTTGTGTGGCTTATTTTTCTACTATTTTTATCCTTACTTTATCATGTAATTTACTTAATAACTTCTTATTATTAATTTTTATGTAATTTTTTATTATTACTTTTTACACATTGTATTTTTTTTAAATTTTATTTAAACAAAAAGTACTGTTTATATTTTCATTCATGTGCATTAAAAAAATGTACAGATGAGTATTCGTTTGGACGTTAGTATATATAAAGAAAATACTTTATTTTTATTTTTATGTGGCTTATTTTTTTTTACCATTTCTACCCTTACTTTATTATGTGATTTATTTAATAATTTCTTATTAGTAACTTTCACGTAACTTCTTATTATTAACTTCCACGTATTGTATTTTTTTAAAATTTTATTTAAACAAAAAATATCGTTTATATTTTCATTCATGCGCATTATAAAAGCGGACAGATGAGCACGCGTCTGGACGCTAGTTAAAATAATAAGAAAAAAATTAGAAAAAAAATAATAAGCTATAAACTAAAATATTATTTAAATAGGATCTAAAAAATAAGTTATAAATTAGTAAAATAAATTATAAATTCATTATAAAAATATTGTTACTAAACAAGTCTTTTATTGTCCTATAAGCTTAAAGTCATTATAAATATTTATAAGCTCAAAATTTAGTTTACCAAACAAAGTCTAAGTTTAATTTTTTTAGATTTTCAAAAACTAAATTAAAATAGATAGTTAAAGAGTTTAAATTGATTAACTTAATTTTTTGGCTTCAATATAATTTAATTGTGATATATATGGTTCAATTATTCTTTTTTTTTCTCCCACAATTTAATTGTGATACATGGTTCAATTATTCATATTTTTTGTTTTAGTTTTATATTATTTATTATTAAAATACGAACTTACAAATTAATTTAAATATATTAAAATTAAATACAACTCAAAAATCACCATTATTTTTTTCAGATGAATTATCATCTTTATCTAACTCAAATATCATATTAATTAGGATTTGTTTGGGTTGCTTTATTTAAAATTACATAGGAATAAGTTTTGTAAGATTATTTGGAAAAATTTATAAAAAATAATTTATGATGATTTTTATTAAAAAAATTTAATTTGTTTTGATAAAATTTTCAAAATATTTTATATAAAACATTTTATAGTATATTTAAAATTGTGCCGGATAAAAGTACAATTATGTGACAATCCTAGATAGATAAGAGATGTTAAAGGTTTTAAGATTGTCAGAATATTGAGAGATATTTCACGTGAAGTAAAAAGTTGTTGAATGAGTATATTTTTTGGTGTTATTGATAGTCTCTTTCAGTATCATGGTATTAATATATTTATAGCCCACAAGGGTATTGAATCAAGTGAACCAAGTCTCCCTAAAATATATCAACCTTCGCAAGAATGGGTGGTTCAAACCAAAAAATTCAAGAGGTGTAATTAAACCCAGGGACAGAGCTAGGTGTAAGATATTGGGGGCATGTGCCCCCACCCAAATTTTTATTATAACTTATTTAATAAATTATATTATTTTGACTAAAAAATTAAATATTATGTCTCTTAAATTAATTATATATATTTTAAATAGTAGTAGAAAAAAAAATATATTGGACCATTTTAGATACTAGAATTTAAAATAGTGAAGTTTTGAGTAAAAACATTTTAAGTAATTTTAAATTCATCAAATGTAATTTATATTTATTTTATGACATACATATATTTGTATAAAATCATTTTGCCCCCACTGACTTATATTTCTGGCTTCGTCCCTGATTAAACCCCACGACTTCCTAGATGCCGACTATTGACTCAATATACGCTCCTCCCCCGATCGCCTTTTATGAATGAAAAAACGAGAAGTTTGGAGATAGATCCAAACTAGTGGTGATCAAACAAAATGAAAGGCGCTCAAACTAGTATAGGGGCGACTCGGGAAAGACATAGTGTATGACTCTCGCCCTCGCACAAGGTTTTCCTCAATTATATCACTACACAGTCCCTCAAACAAGAGGATTCGTAGAAGCTTAATTGTTTTAACCCCTTAACTTCGAACCTTCATAGGGAGCCTAATCAAGGCGTTTATTAGTGTCATCGGGTGAGAATTTGTTGCTACTCTCCAAATGAGGTTTAACTGAGTCCTTCTGACGAGACTTTGTCGAGTCTCAAGCGAGACTTTGTTAAATCCCTTTGACGAGACTTTGTTGAGTCCCTCTGGTGGACTTTGTTAAGTCTCTCTGATGAGACTTTGTCGAAGAGGGGGGTTCAATTTTTAGTATGTTATTTGTATCCTCTCAATCAATGGAACATTTTATAACCTTGCCTTTTAGGGAATTTTATTTAATGGATATGTTCACACCTTTAGCGGTTTGTTCATGTCATTTTCATTGTGGTTTTCTTTTTGGTGTTTATAGTATGATCAACCTATTAAGGTGTCTGTGATTCTTCTACAATGGTCCGGTGATATAATTACTTTGTATGGCGACAACGATCTTCTTGTGAAAGTTCATCAATATAATTGCCTTGTACGGAAGTAAATATCTTTCTGTGGAAGTCTAATAATATAATTATCCCATCGGGAATCAAGGACCATTTTGTGAAAGTCCAGCAATATATTTATCTTGTAAGGTGCTAAGGATCTTCCTGTGAAAGTTCATCAATATATGAAACTTCTTGTTGAACGTCTTACCTCACAGTTGCCAGGATTGGACAAGTGTAATAAGAAGCATGTCTTTGTGCAATCAATTCATTCCAAAGAGTTTTCATTTCTATGAAATACTCCAACACATATTTTGATCATTGTTTGAGTTAGTTTAGTTGGAATCTAAAAGTTGACACACCAACTCTGACCTCTTCTTCAAATATTTTTAAACATTAACAGAATTTTCATAAAAGATTATAATTTGTGTTATGGAAGCATAAACAAAATAATAATTCAAGAGTGTACCAAATGATTGCATATTTACCATGTTGCACAATTGAGATCATCATGGTCTAGGATAGGCATTGATCCATCAATGATTGAAAGTTTGTTTTTAGCTCTAAATACTCGACGCATAAATATGCTCCAACCAACATAATTGAATCCATCAAGCTTCGGTGTGACTGATATATAATTTGACCCATCACTCAGAAGAACATAGAAATCTAAATTCAGTTGTGGTTGAATAGGTTGTGCTTTTGTCATTCGAGGCACCATTGTTGAGGAATCAAAGAAGCCGAAAAGTGAAATATATGTGCAACAAAGAATGAATGCAGCTAGCAAGAACAAGACAAATTTTAAAAATGAATGAAAAATGCAGCGGGACAAGTATAGATTTCACTCAAGAGAAGAAATTAGGTAAGTAAATACTCTTCAAGAGAGAACTCATGATATCATAATATGAACAAAGCTACGTGATTTCATTAGATTGTAAAATGCTGATATAATTAGCTTATATAGTTGAGTTAGAGTGCATGAAAGGATAATATAGGTAGTCAAGCATAGAAACCTCTAACTCTCAACAGCATAACTACCATAAATAAGGAAAACAGCGAATAGAAATTAAAAAACCATGTGACCATCTTCTTCGTTGCTCTTCCATTATGGCACTGTTACGATTCACCGCCTCAGTGCCCCACCATCTAAATTGACACCTACTTCGTTATCAATAACACTGTCGTTTGAATTTGATGATGATGCATGCCGCAAATGTTTTTGACAGCTTGTTGCAGCGACAAAGTATGGTGTATACTGGGTATTTGAAACTGATTGCAGACTCAAATGAAAGCAGTTATCGGTGTTAATGGTGATTTTCCGATGAGTTAGCTTGGACGGAGGCGGTGCTTGTAGAGGCTGAGAGAATGGACGTGAAAGCAGTTGTCGGTGTTAATGGTGGTTTTCCGAAGAGTTAGCTTGGACGGCGGCAATGCTTGTAAATGCAAAGAGAAAGGACGTCTCTTTTTTGTATTTAATTGATTTTTAGAAGAAGAAGAAGAAAAGAATAAGACATGTGACATTGTAATACATGAGATTGATCTGACAGTTCACATGTTTTCAAAGTCACGCTACCTTTCACCCCTTACAGTCAGGCAATCCTGGTCCATAAATAACTTAGACAAGTGAGTTATATTCATAACTAACGCGAGCTAACTAACTTTAGCCATATCATTGTGTAATAATAGATGTTCAACCTGCTAATTTTTGGGGTTATATTTTATATCATTGAAGTCAAATTTTATATTTTGTTTTTCTTCCTCAAATTAATAATTTTGACGTTATGCAGGTCACGTCTAGATTGCCAAGTGATCGCTAAACCTGAACTTGACGGAGTTCATTAGGCCCTTACTGATGCGACTCGAAATTATGGTTATGTGCCAAAACCACACCTGAACTTGATGGAGTTCATTAGGCCCTTACTGATGCGACTCAAAATTATGGTTATGTGCCAAAACCACATCTGAACTTGATGGAGTTCATTAGGCGATGGTTATGTGCCAAAACCAAGCCTAAACTTGATGGAGTTTAATGGTTATGTGCCAAAACCACGCCTAAACTTGATGGAGTTTAATGGTTATGTGCCCAAACCACGCTAGTAATACTGGAATGTGTTTGGTTACGATACAAAGAATGTGGCTATCTCAGTATTGAAGCTTTCCTAAAAATGAGCATTTTTTTTTTGGCACCGAGCTTAGTCATGATCATCGAGTTCCTCTATATGACAGACATGGAGATCATGGTGGAATTTCGACAGGCTACAATTGCTTGCCAATAAACTACTTGTATGAAAGGAGGGAGAAAATAAGAATTACATAACATGATGACACTAAAGTTGTACATCTAATTGAGCTGTAAAATACAGTACTGCACAACTTGCCAAAGTTTTGCAAACTTGTCTTTAAAGCAGTTGCATTTTCCTGCATTTGTCGCAATAGTAGAACGGCCTGTGATCTATATGACTGCACCAAATGCAGGAAATCAACTGCAGACATTGTGATAAATCTGTTTTAACGATTTGATTACACAAGACAGTTAATTCATCTTCTAAAAGTACATCACAGATGAAATTAAAAGCAAAAGCAAAAGAAAATGTGTTATTGACTAAGAATGACTAAGAACAGCATGATCACATATAAGTAACAGCAAGTGAAGTAAACTGAGGAGGTTAAAAACTGTAAATAAAATCAGTTTCAGTGGAAAGTGAAAATTAACAAACACATTATTTCACAGATTAATCATGATTCATGTCCTATGATAAAACGCAGGCCATCTGCTGCCATATGAAACTCGGATACAAACACAGACATCAGACACAATACCGGCACGTCAACACCGGTAAACAAGGAAGCATGCCTTTTTTTCAGAGGCGTCAACGCTATAAACCGGTTGGAAATCAGAAGGAACTAAACTAGTTAAGTGTGACATTCAAAACCATAAAAATTCAGTATTAAGGAACAATCATAATCAGTAACTATCTCTAAGAATTGAACTAAATTGTAATTTTTTTCTCAATCTAAGATTTCTACAAAACAAAACCCTAACGGAATCAGTAACTGTAATCACTACAAAAAAGTGAAATCAAAAGTTTGTTTCAGTTAAGCTTCTTGAGAATTTTGGAAGCCCAACGCTTAACGCGTCCTCTGAGAGTGTAACCAAAAACAACTCCACCAACAAAGAAAATTGCACAGAGCTTTGAACAAGTCCAGTAAGAGAGAACTTGCCTGCAACAAAAAACACATAATCGATTACTTCAAGTCAAAACCTAGTGAATTCACATAAAGAAGAGTTAGATTGAAGTTTTCACAAAGAAAATAATGAGAAAATTAACGTTGATTTGTTGAATTTAAACTAAGGTAAGGTGAGAAGTAGAAAGAGAGAGACGTGCCTGGATGATCTGGTGGCCAAGACATAGGATGAATTGTAAGGAGGTGTTACTCCGATGCCGCCGTTAAGATCTAAGCTCGACGGTGTTGTTTTGTGGTCGCCGGAAACCTTGACGGCGGTTCTTACAGCACCGTTCATTGCTACGAACAACAATGCCGAAACAATGCTGCGATTTCACATCCTTTATTGCTTTTTGTTGTGTTTATTTTTTTTCTATGTATATTTCGAATCAAAACGACGCAGTATAACAACCATTAAAAAAATATAAGTTATGTTTTACTGCAGTTATTATGTTAATTTTTGAAAAAACAATCTACTCCACATTTTTTTTTATAAATCTATTATAGAGTTAGCAAGTGTTTAATAATGGATGAAAAGAAAAATAGTTTTAAAATAAATATAATTTTCAATTTTTGAAGTAATAAAATTATAATAATACAATAAACAATTATTTTTATTTTTATTTTGTTTGTCATAAAATATAAAACTACTGATAAATCATTTTTGAGTGATCAATAACTCTCCAATCATATTAAAGGGTGTGTTCGGATTGGGATGCATCGAATTTGACCTAACTAGGGATGATAATTGACAGAATTTAAGCAAGGTAGTATAGTACTCATTTTTTTATCCGCAATTTGAAAAAATCTTCATATCTGAGCTCATACTCACTTTAATGTCAAATTTATCACACGTACCCGTGCTCTATGGGCATGTAAAGTACTCATATCCGTACCTGTTATCCGCATTTATTTTAAAAATAAATAAATCAATTATAAAATATCATATTTTAAGTTTTTAAAAACGTTAAGAAATTTTCAAAAAAATTTATTGTTGAAATAAACGAACACTTATATTAAATACGTAATGATTTAACGTTGATGATATATTTTTCAAAATAGATAAACGTACATTTTTATATAACAATATAAATTAAAATATATAAATATAAATTAAAATACATAAATATATTATGTGGGTATGGGGCAGGTTGGATACCAAGGTGTCCATACCCGCTTATTTTTTTAGGTAATTACCCGAACCCATACTCGTATCTATTTTTGCGCATTTTACCCTATCCATTGTGGATAATTTTGCGGATGCCTATTGAAATGATTCAAATTGTCATCCCTAGACCTAACCCATTATTCAGATCATTCAAACTTCAATGAATTGGATTCATTGACCGAACCGTAATTTCATATTCAATCGACTCAAACCAACTCGTTAATTTATGGATTAAGTTTGTGGGTTATGTTCTATGAAAATTATTTGTTAATAATTTTTTTTAATTATAAAAAAAAAACTGTACCACAATTCCATATAATTAGATTCATTTCTAACAATCAAACTGTAACACATCATAAAATATTTAATAAAATTCATTCACATGACATAACACTTGATAATAGTAGAAAATTTTACAAGACACTTTATTTTCATAAAATATGTAAGTTGGAAATGATACAAAAGAAAATAAGAAACAACATTTAGTCTTAGAATTACGTAAACGTATTGGTCTAGTAGTAGTATTGGCGTTGAATAGTTATTTTTTTGGAAAAATTGTGGTTAGTAGTGAGATATTAATTTTATTTTTTTTATTTAAAATAATTATAAAAAATAAGAAATTACTAATGTTACATCAACGGGTTGGGTCAACAAGTCTGCGGGTTGAGAAATTCAAACTCGACACTTGAATCAAAATTATACGGGTTGTTGCATGTTTCAGATAATTTATGGGTTGGTTTGGTTTGGGTCAACGAATTTGTGAGTCGACCCGCATCCATGAACACCCATAATTATATCTCTCAATCATATGGTTTAATTGACCCTTTCAACAAAGAAAATATTCCTCTTAGAGTAATAGATGACACAACCACCAATTATTGATTTTCCTTCCAACTTGTAGTTGTTTCTAATAATGCAAACACAAAATCCGAAAGAAATATTTTAGTGTCCACATTTTTCACATAATCTGCATGTGCAAAAAAATTCCAAAACGTCGCCCTTTAAGAGTCCTTTTTGTATTTCAAATAACCATTTAGTGAAACATTTAAGTATCTCAACATCCACTTCAAAGCTTCCTAATAAACTTGATCAAAATTAACCATACATTGATTTATTATGCTAACTGCAAATGTTAAGTTTGGTTTACTACAAATTATACCATACATGGTGCTTCCAATACCACCTGCAAAGAAAATAATCTCTATCATCTTGTCTTCTTCTTCGATTATTGCATAACCAAAAGCTTTGTGTCATGACCCAAAGAATATTGACAGTTTTATCATCTTTCATTCTAAACTGCTTCACCAATTTTTTTTTCATGTAACCATTTTGAGATTTTGTGATTTCTTATGATATTCATCCCTATGATCCTCTTAACTTCATCAAAATCTTTCATCTCAAATTCAACATTCAAAGTCTTCTTGATCTTACTAATATATTTCTTGCTAGATCTTGTCATCAACATATCATTAACATATAGAATAAGTTAGATAATGATTTTCTCATTCCTTTACAATATGTATACACAATTGTAATAACTACTTCTCACAAAACCATATTTAATAAGAAAATCACCAAGTCGGCAATACAATTGCCTTGAGATTTATTTCAAATCATACAATTTTTTCTTCAACGGACATACCTTAGATTTGTCCTATACAAAATCTTTAGGTTGTTCGATATAAATTGTCTCGTCAAGGGCTTCATGCAAGAAAGGTGTTTTGAAGCTAATATGTTCTAACTCAAAATTATATTGGTTTATAATTTCCATAAGTACTCTTATAGAACAAATTTTTACCATATTTAAAAAGATCTCACTGTAATCAATCTCCTTCACCTGAGTAAACTCATTTGCTATAAGTATTTCCTTAAGCATTGGTTCTTCAATCCTTGTAATATTGTCTTTCTTCTTGAATATCCACTTCCATCTAACCATTTTTTGTTTCTTAGATAATCTCACAAGCTTTCAAGTATGATGCTTCATTGGTGAATGCATCTCGTAATTCACCCCCTTCAACCATCTTTAAATATCTTTTCTTGTAAAGACTTCCTTGAAAGTCTTTGGTTCTAAGTATTAAAACCCTTCAACCACAATTAAATAATGACATATAAAACCATAATAATTGTATCTTTGAAGTGATAGAATTTCTCTTCTTTCCTTATCACGTTCCAACTAATAGTTTGGAGCCATTGTAGGTTACCCCTCATTAGAACTAGAAGAAAGAGCATGAAATTCCTCCCCATCTCTAGTTTCACTATTAGGGACATCCACCTCAAACCAAGTATTTTCCATCATAAATTGGTTTTTATCATGAATTTCTTGACTAGCTAATAATGCATGACTAATAATAGTGGAACCATTTAAAATATATAAATCACACATTTTAGACCCCATGTTTAAATCTAGCGCAACAACCTAGATAATTTAACATGGTTTTAGACATCAAATTTTACTTAAGCTCATAAGCGTACCCCACATTATGTTGAAAGATCTCACGACTATCAAACATTTTAAGTCTAACCATACCAAAACCATGAACTTTGCAATTCATTTTATTAGAACAAGATTTGTTCATGACATATATGTTGGTGTAAGCCCTAGAGGCCAATACTTTTTGGTACTTGTATCGGATTATTCGTTTAATAATAAAAGGCATTTCTTTATTATGTTTGTCTTTCAGAATAATAAAGTCCCTAGAATAGTTAGTCTGTTTAATGAAATGTTAAGTGTGACTTAATCATGAGATCCCATTAAACATAAAGACATTATTCTTAAAATATCCGTAGTCAAGCTTTATTGCAAAGTGGGATAACATTAAAAGCATTGAGACTATTATGAAGATAGACTGATGATCACATCTCATGGATCATGGATAAAGAGTTATCAAGTCTTGACATAGGTATAAATATTAGGAGTAATATTTATACCGGATTGACCCGCTATGAGAATACTACATAGTATGTTATGCAAAGTGTCATAAGTTATTCTCATGGTGATAATGGTGTATTACCACCCTTCGACCTGAAACCACTATGGACCCTAGATGTAGAGTCGGGTGCTTTATTGCTGATCAAACATTATTCGTAACTGGATGATCATAAAGACAGTTGATGGGCACTCCACGAAGCATGCTGAGGGACATGAGTGTCCTAGATGGAATTTGCCAATCCTGCATAACAGGAGAAATGTCTAAGGGCCCAATATTGAACTGGACAAGGATGACACAGAGTATGCCTTGTGTTCAATATAGACATAGGGGCAAAAGGGTAATTGTACAAACATATATTATCACGAAAAAGGTTTTGTCAAATCACATGACATTTTCGTGACTTGGGTAGCAGTGATGTGTTGCTAGATACCGCTTACTGTTTATTATGTTAAATATATAATTTAATATAATTACCAACGTTACGAAATCCTACAGGGTCACACACATAAGGACAGTTTGATGAGAGATAGAGAAATCAAAGGAACACCGTAAGGTACGGTGCACTTAAGTGAAAATAGAAATTCGGATAATATAATAATAATTATTGTTATTTTATAATGGTTATAAAATAATAATAAAATAAATATATTTATTATAATAATAGTTATTATAATAATATATAATATTATTATGGATCATGTGAATTAGGGTTTTAGCCCGCAGCCCACAAGAGAGTCTATAAAAGGAACCCTTGTGATGAAGCTTTCACTTGATGCAATTTCGTTTTTGATTCTCTTTTCTCACTCAAATAATTCCGTTCGTAAGCAGCTAGCACTGTGACCGGAAGCTGTTCGTGTGGACTGAGTAGAGGCGTTGCACCTCATCAACGCTTGTGATCGCTGCATCAAAGATCTGAATCGCCACAAAGAGGTAACGATTCTATCACTGACCATGCTCATTCGTGAGGATCACTAAAGGAAAATTTTTGTTTTCCGCTGCGTTTAGATCGCAATTTTCCTTCAATATATTCCTTGGATTTTGATGATAACAAAGTATTAAAATAACAATGGTTATATTTGATGTGTATTTCATGTATGCAAGTTCTAATACTTATAGATATATATTCAGAATCTGATATACAAGGGCACACTTAAAAGAAGCTGAATTGCTAGCTTCTGGTGGTGCAAAATCTGAAGAACA